CGTTACACCCTGCACGTGTGTGTGTGTGTGTGTGTGTGTGGTGCTGGTGTGTGTTTCGTTCCCACAACACACGCTCCCCCCCCCCCTCATCTCTGTCTTCTTCGCCCGTCGCAAAAAATAACGCACCATCATGGTGGGGTGCCAGCTGGCTGGCAACACAAACAACAATAGATTCGCACCACCTCCACTGCAAGCAGCACCAGCCGCGTGGAACGAAACACACGACCTCGGCCACCACCACCACCCCTTGGTGTGCTTCCAGAATAGCCACACCAACCACCACAGCTACAACTACAACAATGCGTCTCAACATGGCTTGCATTTGTCAAATACAGCTGATCCCTTCCGTCCCCAGCCATCACCCTGGAGCTCCGTGCCATCCCTGATCCTCGACGCGCTCTTCAACCTCGTGTTCTCCGAAACAAAGCCGCCACCTTTCGTTTCCTCGCCACCACCGCCCCTCTCATCAGCAGCAACGTCGTTTTCAGCATCACTCCCTGCATCACCGACTGCCACAGACTCTCACACCGCATCGGCAACAGCACAGGCAACCATGGGCTGGCTCGGCTGCAACACCCCGGCGCTGACGATCGCCTTTGCTCTTGGCGCGGCCACCTGCGCCTTCATCGCCATCCTCTCCGTGGTGCTCCCCGACTGGTACAAGAGCATGCGGGACGCATATCGGCGACGCAAGGAGCGACGAGAGCAGGAAGCAGCGGGCATCACCACCACCAACAACAACAACAACAACAACAACAACGCCAACAGCAACAACATCAGGTCAGGCCAACAACCACCAACGGCAACCACCACCGCAGGCTTGGTTGCTGCGGCAACACGGCCAGAGCTGCTTCAAGCGCCAAGCCAGCCGCACACTGCCCGTGGCAGCATCATGCTGGTCGGTGCTGGTCCCGGCAGCGTGAATCTGCTCACGATTGCGGCCATGCGTGCCATCAAGGAGGCGGACGTCGTGGTATGCGACCGCCTGGTGCCAGACGCCATCCGCAGGCTTGCACGTGGGCAGGTGGTGGTCACCACCAAGCGACACGGCACCGCCGACGCCGGCCAGGAAGCCATCTATGCTGCCTGCCTCCGTGCGCTGGCGCAAGGCAAGCGCGTTGTTCGGCTGAAGGGCGGTGATCCGTTTGTGTTTGGGCGCGGCGCAGAGGAGGTGCTGCGCTTCCGCCAGCACGGTTATGAACCCATTGTGATCCCCGGCATCTCCAGCTGCACGGCTGCGCCGTTGCTGTCGGGCGTGCCACTCACCACGCGTGGCGTTGCTGATCGTTTCCTCGTCTGCACCGCACACGGCCAACAGGACTCAGGTGTGTGTGTCTGTGTGTCTGTGCGTGTGTGTGTCTGTGTGTCTGTGTGTGTGCGTGTGCGTGTGTGTCTGTATGTGTGTGCGTGTGTGTCTGTGTGCGTGTGTGCGTGTGTGTGTCTGTCTGTCTGTCTGTCTGTCTGTCTGTCTGTCTGTCCGTCTGCCCGTTTGTCTGTCTGTCTGTCTCTCCGCCTGTCTGCCTTCTGTGCTGCCTACTCTCACACCCACTCACGCGTGTTACGCACTCGCTTGCTCCGTCACCTTCAACCTGCAGATCCCCGCTACCCGATGTTTGATCCAGCCTGCACGTTTGTGTTTCTCATGGGCGTGCGCCGCGTGGAGCAGCTGACGAAGCGCCTCATTGCTTTCCACAAGTTCCCGCCATCAACACCAGCGTGCATCGTGCAGGAGGCAAGCATGCGAACGCAGTGCCAGCTCAGCACCACCTTGGAGCTGCTGCCTTGCCTGGCAAAGGCCAACAACATCTCTGCGCCCGCCACCATTGTCATTGGCAATGCTGTCACAACGCTTATGAGCACCGCATGAGGGAGTGGCGCTGATGTTGTACTGCTGCTGTTGCTACTGTTGCTACATGTCACTGCGGCTGGTGCTTGCACCGGTTGTTTTTGTTCCTGGTCACCCGCCTCATGCGACATATTTGTCATGCTACTTCTTCCGTTGCATCTTTTAAATTGTGTCATTTCATGTCACATCACATCACTCTCACTCTTTCATTGTTACGCTTCTGTTTCGTTACAACTTGCCTCCCTCTGCCCCTGCGGCTGCATCTGCTTGTGCTACATTGTTACATTGCTGCTGCTGCTTCCATCTGTGTATCAGCCCACACGATATAATAGCTCGCCCAACAACAACATGTTGGCACGAGACAACAGGCTCGTACACTCACACACACACACATAAGACAAAGGAAGAAAGCAAAGCAAACACCAGAAAGCAACTGCAGAAGAAGCTGGAAAAGCGAGCCAACATAAGCCGTTCAGGCTTTCTGATAATGACATAAAACCGCACAACAACACCACTCCCTGTGTGCAAGCGTATGCGTATGGGTGCGTTGGTGTGTAATGCAATGCTGCGTTGCGCAGCCAACAGCTTCACACATGCGTGCGCACACACACACACACAACACACACAAAAAACACACACACACACAACACACACACGCAGCACAATTCAAAGATCAAACGCTCCAAGAACGTCATCAAGCGCGGCAATTTCGTTGCGGAAGCGCTCAGAGAACGCACTGGTTGTCAGCTCCTTGGCAGGGGACACGCCGCGTGTTGCGGGGCCAAGATGGCTCTGCCCGAGCACGTGCTTGCTCAACACTTCGCGCGGGTCTGCATTGATGAGGCTGGAGAATGCCGACACAAACGACGCGCGGATGGTCGCGCTTGGCTTCTCAAGCTTCAGCAGATACGTGTGCGTCTCCTTGCTCTGCACCAGGTAGGCATGTGCGCTCGCCGTGCCAAGCACACCGCAGTTCGCCAGCGACACGACGCGGCTACGGCGGTTGCCAAGGTCTTGAAGCTCGACACTCTGACGACCGACAACACAAAGCTGCTGCTCGCCAACCAGGGCAAATGCCTGCGGCACGTTCACGTGCCACTCAAGACTCGGCTCGGTCGACACAACGCGACCCTCGAGGTTCACCACGAGGCCGTAGCGGCTGAAGCACAGCAGCAGCTTGTCGTGCCCAAGCTCAAACACGTCAATCGGAAACACGTTCCCGCGCTCCTCGTTGCTCAGGTGCATGGCAAGGTTGCTGTCATCGACGTCAAGCAGATCTTCAATGTCCAGCTCAAGCGGTTCCAGCATGGAGAAGCGTGACGACCCCCACACAAAGCGACGCAGCGACGCCACGTACTTGAGGCACGTCGTCGGGTCGGTGTAGCGTGGGCCGTGCGCCTGCTTAGAAAGCACAAACGCGCGCTCACGGGCCCGCCACTCAAACAGCGCCATGCAGTCCGTGTGTGCGGAGAACAGGAACGTGCGTCCAGCGACAACCGTGCCCACGGCGAACGCAAGCGTGTTGTGGCTCTGCTCAATCTCCTTCAGCTTCTTCTGCCCGCGCTCGCGCGCTGCTTCCAAAGACACATCCTCCTCACCACTGCCGCTGCTGCTGCTGCTGCTGCTGCTGCCTTGGCTGCCCTGGCTCGCCTCACTGGTCTTGCGCTGCCGCTCAGCACGAGCTGTGGCGCCCGACCTGGCAGAGACGGTGGTTGCAGACGACGTCGTGCTGGCCTGCGTCCGCACACCGTGGGACCGCACACTCTCGCTGTTGTCAGCAACGGCAATGCCAGAGGAGCTGCGGTGCAGTGCAGACAGCTTCAGCACGCACATGCGCCGTTGCTCGCCCACCACCAGCACCAGCACACCCAGCTCCCGCACGCACTCGGCATCATGGATGGTGTCCTTGCACACAAATGCGGGCGCATCAAACACAACCTGAAGCTGCTCCTCTGCGCCCACGCCGCTTGTCTGCGTCCAATACAGGCCCTCCTCACTCACGAGCAGCTGCGAGCCGTCGAGGAGCGTCACCATCTTGAGGACGGTCAGGCCGGGCCCAGCAACGACACCATCACACAACAGCAGCTGCTGCTGCTGTTGTTGAGCGCCGTCGTCGTCGCTGCTGGCAGAGCCCCTGCGTTCGCGTGCAGCCTGCAGCACAAGCGGTGGGGCATTGAGCGCGCACACACGATGCGGCTGCCACTTTGCGTCGTCTGTCGTGACGCGAGCAGCATAGCGCTGCACTGTGGCCTTGAGGGTGCGCGCAAGCCGCTGGGCAGAGGCGGTGCTGTCCGTCTCAATCAGCACCTCCTGCCCCACCCAGCAAGGCGGGTGGTGCGACACATACACGACAGAATCCTGCGCAATCTCGCCGCCGGCCTCAAGCACAGACAGCTCGCTGGACAGGTGCGTGCTGACAACAAACGCCGATGGGCAGCGGCGAAGATCGAAGAAAGTCAGCACCTCGCCATCCTCGTGCCCCTGACTGTCGTCGGAAACGGCACGGAGCGACAACATGCTCTCGCGCAGCTCCAACACGGCGTGCGCCCACTGCTGTGAGCCCTCACTCAGCAGCAGCACGCGCACGGGGCGGGCAGATGGCTTGGTGTTCTCATCGCCAGTGACGGCACCAGCAACACCAACGCTGTCATCCCCGCCAACAATGGAGGTCAGCAGCGATGAGTCGAGGTTCTGCTGCCTGCTGGCGTTGCCGAACCCAGCTGTGTGCACCTTGTTCTTCAGAGGCGTGCCGCCGTTGGACGCAAGCACGTTGCCGTCAAGCGCGCCAAGAGCGCGGCGGCGACGCAGCGAGGGCGCAGCGCCAGTGCTGGCGGAGGTGATGTTGATGTTGATGCCGGTGTTGTTGTGTGAGCAAACCGCGTCACAAGAACGCTTGCCCATGGCATACTCGGGCGACTGGGACCCATCCTCGTGCGGCTGCTGCTCTTGTTGCTCGAGGGCTTCGCGCACGTTGGCAAAGCGCTCGTAGCGTGAGCGTGGCATCTGTGGCGTCACCACCTGCGATGACGTCACAGCAAGCGGACCGGTCATGTCCAGATCCGTGACGCCCACTTCGCACCCACTGCGGTTGTCCACATCTGGCGTTTGGGCGCGATGCATTGCCTGCAGGCACGGAGTGGAGGGGGCGCTGTCGCCCTTATCCGCCTTGCTGCAATCGTCACCAGGGATGGCGGTAGTAGCGCTGGCGCACTCCTTCTTTTCTTTCGCGGGTGCAACGACAACAGCAGCAGAGGCAGCTGGCTTCATCTGCGACTTGTACAGCTGCTTGTTGCGCAGGGCGCTCATACGAGACATCATGCGCGTGAGGGGCACGATGCCGCTCGACACGGCGCTGGCGTTGGCAGATGCAGAGGTGGGCGACTGCGTGAAAGAGCCTGCTGACAGGGCTGCAGGTCTGTGCCCTTCATCCAGCTCGGCTTGCATGCGCTGCAGCTGCAGCACCGTGTCATGCAAGCGACGCTTGGCCAGACGAAGCTCGCTCTTCATGGCCGTGCAGTAGCGGCAAGATTCCCCGGGCACATCATCGCCATCGTCATCATGATCGATGGCGGTGGCGGCGGTGACGGTGGCTGTTGCGTCACCCTTCGGGCTCTGCTGCTGTTGCTGTTGCTGCAGGTGCTCCTGAAGCAGCTTGGGCAGGGCCGGGATGGGCCGGGCAGCAAACTTGTGGCGCTGCTTGCCGCGGAACAGGCGCAGCTTCAGCTTTGGTCGCATGTGCGCGTGCTGGTGGTTGCCAGAGGCGGCGTTGGTGAGAATGGTGTCGAGCAGCTTGCCGTGCTGCGCCTTAACTGCCTCCAACCGCAGGTTGTCGGTTGCCATGCCATTCACCTCTTCCTCCAGCAAGCGAACCTTCTCTGTAAAGTGCTGCCGCTCCTTGTCAAGCTGGCGAAAGGCGTCGTTAAGCTGGGCCGTCTGCTTGTGCAGCTGCTGATCGCGCATCTGCAGCTCTTCCTCCAGTGCCGCACGTGCTTCGCGGGCGCGCTTGGCTGCGCTCTCCGCCTCCACCCACTGCGACTCGTACTTGGACGCCATTTCAGTCGCCTCCTGCAGGTCCGTGTAGAACCCTTCCATCATGTTGCATGTCGACACGTTCAGCTTGCGCAACCTCTCCTCAAGGTCGGCAATCTGTTGTGAGGGTGGTGGCGGTGTTGTTGTCGTTGTGTGGGTGATTTGAGGAAGGGTGGGAGTGAGAGACGACACAGCAAAACAGTTCCGTGAGTAAGTGTGTGTGTGTGTGTGTGTGTTTCTGGGTGTGTAGGCTTTTGTCTATGTGCTTGTGCCTGTGTGTGTGTGTGCGTGTGTCTGCATGTGGAGAACGCAGATTTTTGGACAGTTCATGGCAATCGGAACGAGATGCAGACCAACACAACAAACGAACCGTGCTCTGATGCTCAGCTTTCTCCTTGTTGAGCGAATCGCGCTCCTCAGTCGTGGTCTTCAGCAAACAGCCAAGTGCTTGCACCTGTTCCATGGACAACAGAAGAGTCGTCGCAGGCACATATCAATTCAGGTTCTCAAATGCGTCGTGGATTCGGCTCGAACAAATTCAACAACATGTTCATCAAATACGTACAAATATTCAAACAAACACAGACACACAACATACAATATCTCATGCACACCCACAAAGGCACATGCACACTCACGCCCAAGTGTACAGAAGCAATCAAATGCACACCCACACGCTCACACACACACGCTCACACACGCTCACACACACACGCACACACACCCAACTGCTCACCTCCTGTGTGCGGTCGAGGAGTTGCTGCTGCAGCTCATCAATGGTGGCCTTGTGCTTACGGACTTGGCTGCGTGCAGCATCAACCTCAGCAGACGTGGACACGGATGTCACAGTCGCAGCCCGCCGCATGTCCTTCTTCTCCTTGGATGCCGCAGCCAACTCAAGGCGAAGCGTATCTGTCTCACGCATGAGCGCCTGCACTTGCTCCTCAAGACTGGCGTTGTCGGCTTGCGTGCGCGCAAGCTGTTTCTTTGCCATCGCCTCGGCTTCCTCAAGCGCAGCAATACGCTTGGCATCGGCCTGCGCCTGTTTAGATACGGCACGCGCGCGCTCCAAATCCGCTTCAAGCTGCTGCACGCGCCGCTGCAGCCGCTGCTCCTTCTCCTGCGTTGCCTCCAGTTGGTTCACGGAGACAGCAGCCGAGTCCGTGGACCGCCGCACCTTCTGCTTCAGGTGGCGAAGCTCGCGCTGGGCAATGCTTGCCTGCCGCTTGAGCTGCTGCACTTCGTCGTTCAGGCACTTGTTCTCGCGCTTCAGAGCCGTCACCTTGTGGTCCTGGCGGGCGCGCATGCTTGCACGCACGTTGCGCTGTCCCAAAGGTGACATGTTCTCCTGCTCTTGTTGTTGTCGAAGCTGGGGCTTGCTGTTGGCAGCAACGGCCGAGCCCGTGGTGGCAGCAGCAGTGTCCTTGCTAGCTGTCTTCTCTCTTTCTTCGTCGTCGGCGCTGGCGTCCTGTTCCTCAGCCTCACTCTCTCGCACAAACGTAAAGCCAGCGTAGTCGAGCTTGGAGACATCAAAGCCGTGCTCAATGGCGGCCATGGTATTGGTGGCGAGCGAGATGCGCTGCCGCTCAGCAAACGGCGTCTTGTCGCCGTCGTCCTGTGGGAAGTGGGACGTGTCTTCGGCATGCGCCAGCACAGGTACATATGGCGGCTCCTGCCCCTCCATGTTGGCTGGGCAGCCGTCCTTGTCCTTTGCTTCTGTCCAAACACGCATGGCCTCGTGCGAGAGAATGGCACGTGCGTCTAGGCGGGAACTGCACTTGCGGAGAAGACCAGCAACGAGCGCGCGAGCGGGCTTGGACACGCACGCGGGGTACTCCAGCGATGGCACCAGCTCCTGCGGAAGCAGTAGTGGCGATGGTGGTGGCGGTGGGGGCGATGATGACGAGAATGAAAGGAGGGGGTGGTCATGCAAGAGTGCATGATCAATCGCATGTGAGGATATGGCGTGTGGTTACTGAAACGCTGACACACATGCCCATACAAACACACACACGCACACACACGCACACACACACACACATACACACACACACACACACACACTCTCTCTCTCTCTCTCTCTCTCTCTCTCTCTCTCTCTCTCTCTCTCTCTCTCTCTCTCTCTCTCTCGCGGGCGCACTCTCGCACCCTTTCACGCATTCACGCACGAAACCCATGCAACGTGCGCACCTCAAACTGGCTGATGGCGCCGTAAATCTCAATCTCGGAATCGCCATCAAAGGGAACGCGGCCTGTGAGCATCTCATACACAACAACGCCAAACGACCACCAGTCAACTTCCTTGCCGTGCACGCTCAAGCCCTCCTGGGGAAAGTGTGGAAATGGGAGAAGTGAAGGATGGGAAGACGTGAGATTATTATCGGGAAATGAGGGTGATGCAGTATTGCACGCATGCTGGAGGATGCGAGAACAGGAGTTGAGAGGGACACGAAGCATACAAGACAGCAACACACACACGCACACACGAAATACGCAAACACATGCGTGCACACATGCGTGCACACAGGTGTGTACACACACATGCACACAGGTGTACACACACGTACACATGCGTGTACACACACACACACACATATCCAGCCCTCCACTCGCTGTAGCACAAAACAAACACGCGTCACCACATGCCACAATTCGCAACACGAACCAGGAGCTCGGGAGCAATGTACTGGGGCGTGCCAACAGCCCGGCCGTACACTTTACCAGCGGGGTCCATCTTTGCACTGGAACCAAAATCCACCAAGCGCACGTGGCCGGCTGCGTTGATGACAATGTTGTCAGTCTTGATATCTCTGCATGAACAAGCCGTGTGGTGCAGTGAGGGCAATGAGTGCATGCACCAACGCATAGAAGAAGTACAGTGACAGAGTTGACAATCAGATAAAGTCAGTTGGAAGGACTTCTTCCGCTGATAGCCACGGTGCAAGCATGACATCAACCCGTTCAGGCCTATTGCTTGAGGAAAGACCGCATACACACGCGCACACACACGCACACACGCGCACACACACAGGCACGCACACACGCACACACATGCACACACATACGCACATGCAAGTACACACGTACACACCTGTGGACGAATCCCATGTCGTGGACAGCCTGGATGGCGAGGGCAATCTCGGTGGCATAGAACATGGCTGCTCGCTCCTGTGCAAACATGTGAATATGGGTTGTGTGGCAGGAGGAAAATGCATGAGCAGCAGCGAGAGATGAGCGTGTTGACAAAGACAAACACATGCACACACTGACACGCATGGAGGACAGCAGCAGCTCAAAGCCCAAGCGTGGCAACAGGCAACTCGATCTCCAAACTGAATCAACCAAGCATGCCCAACGAAACCCAGCCCAAAACACACTCAAGACGATTTCGTCGACACCAGCATTTTCAAACACCACGTGCAAGTGCAACAATGAACACGTGGAACGAACCGGGAAGCGGCAATCTTCTTCGCCAAGGCCAAATATCTCTGGGCGGCCGAGCAGAGTCCACAAGTTCCCGCCAGGGTGGTAGTCCATCACCAGGTACAGGTTGGTGTCGTCGTGGAAGGCATAGTGCAGCTCTGATGGCGTGGTGGTACGTTGTAGAGAGAGAGAGAGAGACGTGGTGTGTTGGTTGGAATAATGGAAGCGGCGCACAGAAGATTGCAAAATCAGCAAGCGCGGGCGACACACGAGCTTCTAGCAGTTGCGTGTGCTGTAACAACAACAACAACGACCACTGCGACGACCACTGCGACGACCACAACAACAACAACTACTACTACAGCTGCAAGCACAACTTTTACTCACGTGTGAGCCAAGGGCTGGTGGTGGTAGCCATCAACTCTCGCTCCTCACGGAAGCGGGCCTGTCGGTCAGATGCATACACAAGAAAAAGCAATGAGATGCACGAAAGCAAGACAGAAGCATGTATGACTTCTGCCTTTGCAACTTGCGCGTTGACGACCTGCATCGACTGCGCATGCTCAATGCTTTCCCCACAACTTCACACACACACGCACACACAAACACACACACAAACACAGACAGACACACACACACACATGCCCACACAGACAGACACAGACAGACACACACATACACACACAATTACACACAATTACA